ATCAGGGGACAATTGCTGGAGTCATTCCCTCTCCCTTTCTGTCATGTGGGCCATGGGAGTCAGAGGGCATCAGGCCCTAGCTGGCCGACCTTGCCGGCTCCCGGCTCCCACGTGAGGAGCTCCCTCCCAGCTCATTCTGTCCACCACACTGGTGATGCCAGTGTGCGTTAGGAAACTGGAGAGTTAGTGGGCAGTATCATCACTTTTTAAAACGTGCATGTGACCTACCAAAGATTGAAGGTTTATCCTGACTCTGCATCACTAATCTTTTTATCAGGTAGATGAGAAAACAGACTACGAAAGAGGCAAAGAATTTCATTAACTCTAAGTAAACAAAGATTAGCTGAGCTCTCCGCTGAGATGCGGCCTCCACCCTCTCACAGCAGACAAGGACGATTTCAAAAGAGGGCAAAGATAAAATCTGCAGGGTTCTAGTGACAGGCAATGCCCTAATTGTGAAAATAAATCCCAGCTGAATTGCATGGGCTTGAGGCTCCTACTAAATGGCAGGCAAACCCCAGCTGTTCCAAGGGGTCAGCCAAGGTTGAACCCCCAGAAGGCAGGCGTGCTCCCGTTTTGCTTACTACCCTCAACAGGAGTCTGTGAACTTAAAGTCGTTGACAGTCCTGAGCATATGCACTGGCTGGTTTTTATGTCCGAGTCATCTGAGAGGAGGGAACTTAATTGGAGAAATTGCTTCCATTAGCTTAGGCTGTGGCAAGCCTCCAGAGCATTCTCCTAATTAGTGATTACTGGGGGAGGGCCCAGCCCTTTGTAGGGGGTGCAGTTTGGGGCTGATGGTCGTGGGTTCTATAAGAAAGCAAACAGAGCAGGCCATAGGGAACAAAAGAGTAAGCAGCAGTCCTCCAAGGCCTTGGCATCAGCTCCTGCCTCCAGGTTCCTGCCCTGTGAGTTCCTGTCCTGGCTTCTCTCAGTGGAGCAGGATTTAGGATATATAAGTCCGATAAACCCTTTCCTCCCCAGGTGGCTTTTAGTCATCATGTTTCATCATAGTATTAAAAACCCTAAACCAACATATAATATCAAAGTATCAGCCCCAAAATAAATCCATCGCCCTCTATGAGAAAATGATTACAACTCAAATGGCTTCAATGAAGAAATTAGTATAACGTTAAAGGACACATTATGCTTATTAAGATCTAATAACAAAACTTGAACCACACTGTGCTAGCTTATATATAATATGTTTACCATATTTTATGTTTTAAATTTTTTCACAAAACTTTTAAAAAATCTGCCATTCTTAGGATTTGACCAATCAGTATTTCTGTTAGAGCCTTCCTGAAAAGCCCTTGTTAGGAGCGTGGGCTAGCCAGCCTGCTGAGGGTTAGTGATGGCCAGCCTGCTGAGGGTTAGTGATGGCCGGCCTGCTGAGGGTTAGTGATGG